TTTGGATATAAAAAATATAGGGCAAAATTCTTTTAACCCCCGTGAGGTTAGGCTATTGGACACATCAACCCTTTAACGTTTAAAATATACGCATAATTCTTTTGTGTTATTGGACTTTTTGCTATTTTAATTAACAAAGTTAGATGTTCATCTTAATCTAATAACACAAGGGAGTCATGCATATATTTTAAATAGTACAGGGGTGATGTGTAAAATAGCCTAATTACAAGGCTCAAAAGAATTATGGCCATATAAATCAATAGATTTAATAGCATAACTTACAATTAGGGTTCCCACTTTACAATTCACTTTAACGAACCCAACTTAAATTTTATTCCAAAATCGGCACGAATTTAATAATCCGAATTCAATTTGGACTGTACTTAAGTTGAGATCAAATTAGAATTATAATTAAAGATTATATACTTAGTAGGTAGGGAGTCTTAAACTATGACCTTTGCGTCAATTCTTTTTTAAACCTAACAACAATTTATTAAAATCTCCAAAAAATTGCAAAGAATTAGGAAGCAATTTGGCTTTTCCAGAGAAAACAACTCCAATGAAAACTTAAAAAACCAAACAATCAAAGAACTATATAAGTCTTCCTTGGCAAAACTGGTACACTGCCTCGGTCCTGAAGCAACAACTTCTTCGCAAGCCTGGGCAAAGGAATCGAGACTGTACAGTCAGTCGAGCATCTATCTTGCACAGCCTTATTTGCCAAAAAAACTGCCATGCAATTCGCTTCTCTATATACATGAGACAACTGATAATCCATCACACTCAACATTTCCGAGCTCTGCACGCAACACCAGTCACCATCTGTACCAATATCTGGGAATCAGATTCAATACGAATCCTATAAACCTCAAGACCATAGGCAAAAATCATTTTAAGGCCATCCAAAAGAGCTATAAGCTCGGCATTCGTATTGGTTCATGCATCATAGAAGAAAGATGATGCTGCTGCAAAAATCATCCCTCCTTCAGGATTACGCAACACAGCCCCTCCTCCAGACAGACCAGAGTCTCCTTTGGAAGCCCCATCTACATTTAACTTCAATAACCCAGCACCAGGAGGCAAACGTCTCACCCAAACACCTCTCCTTTCTACTTTATAAAAAACCTTCAAACCCAACAGCTGGAGTAGTTCTATCCCTCTTTGACAGTCTGGGCTCTTGGGAATCAAACCAAAGGCTTGCAAACTGAGAGAATGCAGAATCTTTTTGAAAGCAGCAAAGGAATGCAGTTAAACCCCCTCAAATCTCCTGCCACCTATACCAAAAAACAATCAAAGGAACTGCTCTCACAACTCCATGACTCAAGGATTGCTGCTTAAAGATTCTAAATAATCTTTTCATCCTTAACAGAGGGCCTTCATTAGCAATCACCAGAAATCCTATGACTGCAACCAATCTAGTCCAAATAGCTTGAGCAAAAACAATCAATAAACAGATGTGAATAGGTTTCAACATCTTGGCAATACAAGCTACATTACTTACCAAAGAAATCCCTAAACTCCTTATGCCTTCATCCAAAGGAAAAGCCTTTTTCAGAATTTTCCATGCCACCAATTTGGCACTAGGAGATATTTTTTGTCTCCAAATAGCCTTTGCAGTCTCATTTACACCCCCTGATCCCTAACTAAACTCCATGCACACTTTACAGAAAAAAGACCAGAATTCGAGGCCATCCACACCCTCCTATCCACATGATTAGATAAAGAAATGCCACAAGACAAAACCTCCTCCTGCAACTGAGGTTCCAGAAAATTAGACACATTCTGGATCTGCCACTGAGCATTAATGCACACTTCAGAAACTTAAGGGAAGGCCAATGGAACCCTATCAATTCTCAACAAGAAGGGACCTGAAGCCAACCAATTATCACACCAAAAGTCAGTCTGCTCCCCATTGCCCACAATCATCTTCGACTGAAAAATGAGAGTCTGAAACCAGGGAAACAAAGCTTTATAACATCTAGAATGCTTGGACACAACACCTCTCAAAATATGTTTATTCTGCAAAAACTTCCTATTAAAAACCTTAGCCCACAGTGAAGAACCTTGCAGAATAGACTGCACATGCTTCATTCTTCATTCTAAATGCATTTTGAATATCCTCCAATCTTCTAATTCCCAAACCACCCTCAGCCACAGGCACAAAAACTCCCTTCCAAGACACCCATTGCCTTATTCCTCACTTTTGATTTATTAGACCAAATAAAAGCTTCCATTAAGCCATTCAACTTTGCCAAAATTCCCTTAGGCAAATTCATACAGGCCAACAAATGAACAGGGACAGAATTCAAAACAGACTGAACAAGCACAATCCTACCCATATTGGATAGTATCTTAGCATACCAACCCTCAATCCTCAGTCTAAACTTCTTTATTATATCCTCAAAATAGCATACCTTTGATAAGAGGACACCCCAGATACACAAATGGACAAGACTTCACTGGGATCCCAGCCACAGCACTAAGCATCTGTCTTCTCACCTGAGTAATATGAACAGAACAGAACATAAACCTCTTAATTTTGCTAACCCTCTGACCAGAATGATCTTCATACTTCCCAAGAAAATCTACCAGATGCACAAAAGAACTCTTATTGCCTCTTGGGAACACCAAAGTGTCATCAGCAAACAGCAAAAGGCTCACCAAAACAGTTCCTCTACCTGTATGAAAATGTTTAACCAACCCCTCCTGATATAACAGTTTCAACCCTCTACTTAACACCTCTTCAGCCAGAATGAAAAGGCTAGGAGATAATGGATCTCCTTGCCTAAGCCCCCTTGAAAGCCTTTGACCATTTATTCAAAGAGAAAAATTCTGATTACTCAAGCAATTTGCAATAATGGACATAAAAGGCTCAGAAAACCCAAAAACAGACGAAGTCCTTTTCAAAAAACCCCACTTTAGTCTGTTATAGGCTTTTAGCATATCCAATTTAAGGATCACCTACCTGCCTCCACTTTCCTATCCAGTTCCCCCACCATAAACTGCCCCAATGAGATGCAGTCATCAATACTTCTCCCCTGCACAAACCCATGCTGCTCCTCTGACACCAAGGGAAGTAACAGACTCAATCTACTGGTCAGTGACTTTGTAAAGATCTTATAAAGAATATTACAAAGGCTTATTGGCCGAAAATCAGAAAAGGAAACATGATTCTCCTTCTTTGGAATTAACACCAACAAAGTGGAGTTAACAGATCTGGGCACTGTACCTCCTTTAAGAAAGAAGTTCACTGCATCTAAAATATCCTCCTTAATCACCTCCCATGCTGCCTGAAAAAACTTGCCAGACCATCCATCTGGCCCAGGTGCACTCTCAACAGACATGAAAAACACAATTGCTCTCACTTCCTCCATAGTAGCAACAACTATCGGCCTATCATTCTCAGCAGAAGAAACCAGCTTGGGGACAACAAGAAATAAACTTTCCTGAATATTATAGGATTCAGACTTATATAAAGAAGAATAGAAACCCTCAGCCACCTCAGCTATCCCCTTCTCATCATGAACCCAAACACCCTCTGCATTCTGAATCCTAACAATTTTATTTCTAACAGACTTGCCTTTTGCCACAGCATGATAGAACTTTGTGTTCCTTTCACCTTCCGTAGCCCATTTCACATTAGCCTTCTGCTTTCAAAAAATTTCTTCTAACCTCAAAGTATTGTCTAACTCCCTCTTAGCAATCTCAAGAGACAAAAGGTTTGACTCTGGAGGATCCATGTCAACCATCTCTTCAGCATTACGCAAATCCTTCTCTTGTACTCTGATTTTAACAAAGATGTTACCAAATACCTTCTTATTCCAATGCTTAACATGAGCGTTAAGAAACTTCAGCTTCAGAAAAAATTCTCTATAGGATTATCAGAGAATCTTCCTTACCACTTAGCAGCTACCAAAGGCAAAAAAGATAAATTTTCTACCCACATGTCCTGAAATTTGAAATAGGAAATCCTTTGAGAACCAGAATTCACCAGAATCTTAGTAAGTAGAGGACAGTGATCAGACCTTCCGCTTGCCAAATGCCTTACCTCTGTCTTCTCAAATTTCAGGTTCCACTCTATATTTACAAACACTCTCCAATGTCTGCCACATTCTAGCTCTTCCTATATGGTTATTACACCAAGCAAGCCTGTTTCTCTCAAAAGCCACCATCAATCCAACCATCTTGAGCAATAACGTCTCCAAAATCCTCCATAGAGTCATAAACACAAAAGAAGGAGATGTGCCTCCTAACCTTTCAGCTGAGCTCAAGATAGTATTAAAATCACCCATCATTAACCAAGGCATCGAAACTGGACAAGAAATACTCAATAAATGCTGCCATAAAGGTCTTCTGGGGAGAACATCCCAAGCAGCATATACAATAGTAACCCAGAAAACTTCTGATCCCAAAAAAGATATTTCCACAGTCAAGGCCTGCTCATGACAACATACCATCTTCACATTCACTCTCCTATCCCAAAGAACCAATATGTTCTTATCAGCGAACTCATTAGCACAAAAGAAATCCAAACTCACACTTCTAGCAAAGTCATACAACTTAGAAGAATCCATCTTAGGTTCTTGAATAGCCACCAAAGCAACATCATTCATTTTAACAATCTTTTTCAACCTTCTCCTTTGGACAGCCTTGCCTTCTCCTTTGGAAAGCAGATTAATCATAAAAGATGAGTATTGGAATTATCTCTAGACCTCAGTCTAGTAACTGGAAATGAAGTAGCAACACCAGCAAGAAAATCTTCTACCCCCCACCTTCCTCAGCTACATAATCATCTGTGCCAACAGCTACACCTTCACAACTTTGAGAGCTTCCTCGATCTGAACAATATCCTTTATCAGGTGGCTCCTTTTCACTAACCAAACCACACTCATCATCAAGAGAAAAACCAGATTTTCTCCTATTAACAAACTGGTGCTCCACCAAAAAAGAAGAGTTCATTGTAGGTGAACACATAAGAACACACTCAGGTAAAGTCTCTTTTAAGACCCAGGTAAAGTCTCTTTTAAGACCCCATCCACCTGTTCATCCTCTAATACCATTTCCTCCTTATTCGATTGCAAAAAGCTTCCTCCTCCATCATAGCCCTTAACAACATCAACATCAACCACCCCTTTTTCTTTAAAAACCTCATCTGATATCGATTCCATAGGAAGACCAGAAGCAGTTCCCTGCTCCTTAACAGCAGAATCAATAGTTTGAGCACCTACAATCCTCTGCTCCTTGTTCATTTCCTTAGACTGATCTTCAGATATAGAAATCTGAACACCTTTTAAACTTTGCTCCTTCTATAACCCATTCTGCACTTGAGAGGAGACAACATTAAGACCAACAAACAGGCCAGGAATCAACCCCACTTTAGATCCAGAATCTTCACAAACACCAGCCCCCAAATCTTTCCCAGAATGATCTCCCTTTTTCCAGCAAAACCCCTCTCTCTTTCTGAATGTACACCTTATTCCCCTCCTTATTAGCCTTACCACCTTTAGATAAGACACCATCAGACTTGAATTATAACTCCTTCCTTTGATCACTTTTTTGCTTCTCGTACATCACCCCTTTCCCTTTCATAAGTTTCCAAGAATTATCTTTATTTTTATCACCAGAATTGCTTTCAATTCTTATAGCAGCCCTCTCACCTTCTTCCTTATCACTTTTTCTACCCTCTGCAGAGTCACCCTTTTTTTGTTGTTTCTCCTCATCTTGCTCCAATTAAGCCCCTGAACTTTTTTTATATCAATTTGAGTCTACGATGATCATGCTTTGAAGGAGAAGACATCATATTGTTCTTTCGCCAATTTGGAGTGTTATGTGCAGATGTGCTAACGAAATAGTTGATCATCTAATTTTTTGTTGCGACATTACATAATTGGAGGTTGTGGTGGGGGAGTCATTGGCCTTTTTTTGCCATGATCATCGTAGATTTCAAGGGCTTTGGAAGTAACAAAAAAAAACACATTGTGGAATTGTGAAATTTTTGTTACTATATGGATAATTTGGTAGGAAAGCCAAAATTTATTTCCTGGAATCTGGTTGTATTTTTTTTGTTTTTTTGTTTTTGTTTGTCCACAGTGCGACATTTACTCTTCACTTGTATTGTCAGTTCATTAATAAGATAGGCAGTTTCTCATCAAAAAAACATTTATCCAAAAAAATCAAGATCTCTTCCAAAACAACATTTAAATACACAAAGTACTCCAAAACAAGCAAATGACATTGATAAATTTGCTAACCATTATTAACACAAATCGCAATCATACATATCATGAAAACATAACTCCTCTTATGATCTACCAAACATTATAAGTTTGTCCAATTGATCCATCTTTCAAACTCTATTACCAAAGTTTCATTTGAATGCATTGGGAAATGAAAAAGATAACAATATCAATTAACTATTGTAATAAATTCAAAATAAATATTAATTAGACATACATCCCTAAAACCGTAAACCCTAAACCCTAAACCTTTTTTTTTTAAAGGAGAATTTTATTCAATTAACCCAAGAATTACAAGAATCAAGAAGAGACAGCAAATTTGCCAACACCCCAAAGAATTACAAGAACCAAGGATAGAACATTTATGTCCAATCCTTTTACAACACCAAACACAAAAGCACTACCAGACCACCACCTCCCTTCAGCATCAGCAAATCAAGACCCAAATCAGCACACCAATACACTCTTGGATCTCAAAAACTGGAAGCTTCCTACAGTCTTGCATCAGCCATAACTTCACAGGATTAGGCAGCTGAACAGGCCCAGAATAATTAGCTGTCCTGAACTACCTTCTTCGCCAAGCAGTCTGCCACACAATTTCTCTCTGTATACATGCCTTAACTGGAAATCCATATGCCCCAAAAGCTCCTTAATCTGACCAAGAAAACCCAAACAATTCCGAGCACATTCACTCTTCCCCATAACAGAATCACTAAGACAAGAGAATCTGATTCAATCAAGATTCTATAGGTAAACAAACCATATTCCCTCACTATCTTCGGACCATCTAACAGAGTCTTAAACTCTGCTAACATATTTGCATCCACACCACAACCAGCAGGACCTGGGTTCCCTCCGGATGCAACATCTACATTCAACTTCAAAAGGCCAGCTCCAGGGCATTCCCAACATACCCATATTGCCTTAACAATAACTTCATAAGACACTTCCACCTTGAGCCATTGCAACAAGGCAATGCCATCCCTATCATCCTGCACTTTTGCCCTCACATTTCTGCCCTGATACCTCATAATACTGCAGATTTTCAAGAAAATAGAGTAAGAATGCAATCTTCCTTCCCCAGCAACTCTCCTGCATCTTTCCATCCAAACCTGCCAAAACACCAAAAGAGGGATGCTTCTAACTATACCATGGGCCACTGAGTGCTTCTTGTACACCCTACAAATCCATCTTAGTCTCACTAAAGGACTCTCTCTTTCAATAAGTTGAAACCCTATTAAACCAGCCAACCTACTCCAGACAGCAGAGGTGAAGGCACAACCAACAAATAAATGCTCAGCATTCCTCTTCCTGATAGCTCAGACAACACCTACTCACAATAGGGATACCAATTTGCTTAACTCTGGCATCCAGAGGAAGAGCCTTCATTAAAATCTTCCAACCTACTAGCTGGGCACTAGGAGCAGTCTGAACACCCCAAATGCCTGCAGGAGTTGCATTCAACTCTCCTTGCATCCTACTCTCTTGCGAAGCTGTCTTGACAGAGAACTTTCCAGCACAAGAGGTCTGCCACACCAATTTATCAGAGGTCCCAGATAACGTAAGACCAGAATTCACAACCTCATGCCTCAGTTCTTCATTCAGAAAATCCCCCACTGCACCCAACTGCCACTGAGAGCTTGAAACCAACTCTGAGATCTTAGGGAAACTTTGTGGCACAACCTCTGCTTTACACAACAAAGGGCCATCACCCATCCAGTTATCACACCAAAAATCTGTGAGTACCATTACGAATTACTTTTTTAGACAGAAACACCACCTTCTCAAATTAAGGTCTAAGCATCTGAAGCAAGCAACCATTCCACAAACAACTGAAATCAAAGCACACATTAGAGTAGTTATGCATATAAAACTAAAAATCTAAAGGATAACAAAAAACAATAAGGGAAAAAAATAGGAGAAGAATGAAGAGGAGGTGGAGCAAAAGAAACAAAAGAACAATAAACCCAAATCTCTAACCTCTAAACCCTTAACCCCTAACCCCCTAAATCCTAAACTTTAACCCAAAATCCCTAAGCCCCGTAAGGCCCCAAAGCCAGACACCCTATTTCAATTCTATATTCTATTAGTATCTTCTACATGCTACAAACTTCTAATTTTTTTCCATTCTTTAACTTTTTACTCTATTTTTAAGTAATTGAATTTTGTTTCTAATATTTAACAATTCTAATAGAAGAAAAAAAAATACAACATAATTTATCTAATAGAAAAGCAAGTAAAACACATATAATCAAAGAAATACTATATAATTGTAGGTTGTGTAAAACACGAAAACAACAACGAAAAATGAAAAAAAAAATTGTGGCATAATGAGTGTGTTGGGGGTTGAAAATAATCATAACAAGAAACACAAAAAAGAAGTAAAAATAGTCATGTGTAAAACACATTTTACATGTAAAAGAAAACCAATGAAACTAGGACAAATAGATCTACTTATCTTTTCACTCCTAAACTCGCTTTGCAAACTTATCTCGTCCAACTCTTCTTATTACTTCATAAGCAAACATTCATTCTATAAACAATTGAAATCAAAACACACAATAGATTAGTTACGCACATAAAAATGAAAATCCAAAAGATAACAAAAAAGAAAAAAAATGGGAGAAGAGTGATGAGGAGGTGGAGTAAAAGAACAATAAACCCAAATCCCTAACCCCTAACCCCTAATCCGTTATCCGTTATCCCTAACCCCTAAGCCCTAAATCCTATTTGAATTCAATATTCTATTAGTATCTTCTACATGTTACAAACTCCTAATTTTCCTCCATTTTTTAAACTTTTGCTCCTTGTCCAAGTAATTGAATTTTTTTTTCGACATTTAACAATTTTAATAGAAAGATAACAAAAAATAAATAAAACATAATCTATCTAATAGAAATGCAAACAAAATACATATAATCAAAGAAATACTATGCAATTATAAGTTGTGTAAAACACGAAAATAACAACGAAAAACGAAAAGGAAACAGTGGGATAATGAGAGTGTTGGGGATTGAAAATAATAGATACAATGATCATAACAAGTAAAAAACATCAAAAGAAGTAGAAATAGTCATGTGTAAAATACATATTACATGTAAAAGAAATCCAACGGAATTAGGATAAATAGATATACTTATCTTTTCACTCCTAAACTCGCTTTGCAAACTTATCCCGTTCATTCAACAAACAACTGAAATCAAAGCACACATTAGATTAGTTTCGAACATAAAAATAGAAATCAAAAGGATAACAAACTACAATAAAGAAAAAAAATAAGAGAAAAATAATGAGGAGGTGGAGCAAAAGAACAATAAACCAAAATCTCCGACGCCTATCCCCTAATCCTTTATCCCAAATTCCTAACCCCTAACTCTAAACCTAACCCAAAACCCCAAATGCCCATAAGTCCGATAGCCTGTAAACCCCAAGCCACCAAAGCCCTAAGCTCTAAACCCTATTTGAATTTCATATTCTATTAGTATCTTCTACATGCTACAAACTCCTAATTTTCCTCCTTACTTTAACATTTTGCTCCATATTCAAGTAATTGAATTTTGTTTTCGACAATTAACAATTTTAATAGAAAGATAATAAAAATAAAATAAAATAAAATCTATCTAATAAAAATGTAAACAAAACACATATAATCAAAGAATTGTTATGAAATTATAAGTTGTGTAAAACACGAAAACAACCACAAAAAATAAAAAAGAAACAGTGGGATAATGAGAGTGTTGGGGATTGAAAATAATAGAAACAATGATCATAACAAGTAAAACACACAAAAAGAAATAGAAATAGTCATATGTAAAACACATTTTACATGTAAAAGAAAGCTAATGGAATTAGGACAAATAGATATACTTATCTTTTCACTCGTAAACTCGCTTTGCAATCTTATCTCCTTCATTCCACAAATAACTGAAATCAAAGCACACATTAAATTAGTTACGCACATAAAAATGAAAATCCAAAAGATAACAAACAACAATAAAGGAAAAAAATGGGAGAAAAATGATGAGGAGGTGGAGCAAAAGAACATTAAACCAAAATCCCTAACCCCTAACCCCTAACCCCTAATCTGTAATCCGTTATCCCTAATCCCTCACCCCTAATCCCTAATCCCTAATCTCTAACCCTTAACCCAAAAGCCCGTATGCCCCTAGCCCTAAGCCCTAAACCCTATTTGAATTCTATATTCTATTAATATCTTCTAAATGCTACAAACTCCTAATTTTCCTCCCTAATTTAACCATTTCCTCCCTCTCCAAGTAACTGAA